TGAACTCCTACACTAAGCTGTAACTAGACTTGATGGTTATAATATTAGCAAACTGAGGTTAACCTACCAGCTATGCCTTCTCATATGGTAATGTTTTTACACGGTATATAACGTTATTGCTAATGCTTACAAGCTAGCTGTGGTGCTTTACAACAAACTATACACATCTCGTTGTGTCTCATTATTTAAATAATTATGTTCACTGATTTGATAGGTAGCAAATGTTTAAAAACAAGACTTACAGTGCACAGTTCACTTTTTCGTGGAGCAGCATCTTTGAGGGATCCGTGAGCATCATGTCTCCCGCCAGCAGCCGAGCCACAGACGGAACGGGACCCGATGAAGGTGCTGTGTGCATCAGCTCTGAGTCTCACTCGCTTCTTGCTTCGGTATCCCATGTTGAACTGCATCATATCGCCGGGATGATAATCCTCTGGTGTAAAGTGATCGCTAAGTTACATACCACGTGCTTTTTGAAGCAGATGCATTAGTGAAGTCCCGTCTCTTCACCTGCACAAACGCACCCAGGCCCAGAAGATACCGTCCTTTTTCTTGTTAGGAAACCTGTGGACTCGATGTCCTGACAGGCTGGAGTTTGTGCAACCTCCACAAACACAATAATTTAACATGACGATGATAAAATGAAATAAAAATAACTACCAAAAACGCACTGACTCACTCCCGCTCAAAGTAGAGTCCGGCACACAACTCCCTCTCGTGACGTAATATGACGCGATGTTAGAAAAAAAGCGGTTTTTGAGAACTGTCAAGGAAACCGTCACTTTTTCTTCTAAATTTGTGCCCTCACGTCTTGTAAAACATTTTCAAATCCTGCATTAACAGTTCATATGGTATTTTCATACAAGGTTATATATTAATTTAAAAGAAAATTTTAACCTGCAATATGCACTTTAAAATGGCCGACTCCCTGATCAGTGCCCTGACTACTGAACTAAGGAGCTGATTGAGACGCACCATTATTAACAGTAGTACAATACCAAGGAAGGAAGGACAGGTTGTTGATATTTGCCTGCACAGCGTACGTGAACGCGATGATGATGTATCATGTCTGTGCGAACAGGGTGTGCAGAGGTAACGTTACGCAAATACATTTGAAAAGAAAGCCTATCAAGTTCAAGTTCATGTTTATTTATAAAGCACATTTAAGTGTTGTACCAAAGTGCTGTACAATTTATAAACATAATTAAATAATATCAAAAACAACAACAAATAAAAAACTCATAAGATACAAATAAAAGCATGCAAAATAAACCATAAAAAACTTTTTAACCCAATATTCTCAGGCAATGTTCTCATAATGTCCGGACTGAACATTTTGATTGGACAGACATTTCTTGGTCCTACACCTTCCACAGAATATATAAATACATATAAATACATTTAGACCACTTAACTTAATGATTGCTATCGGGATGTGAAGAGACTTTAAAGAGCTGGCTGTCTGGTGTAGTCTTGGCAACCTGGAGCTGAACACCCTCAAAACAGTGAAGATGATCGTGGACTTCAGGAGGAACCCCCCTGCACTAACCTTATACTTATTTATCACCCTAAATCCTAGTACATCCCTACAACTTTATTTTATTTTATTCTATTCCTAGCACACCTGTACATACAATTTATTATTTTTTTGTGGTTTATATTTATGCATGTGTATTTTATTCACATCTTATTTTTATTATCTGTGTGTTGTTGTTGTCTCTGTGTACTGGAAGCTTGTGACACTATAACAAATTCCTTGTATGTGCAAACATACTTGGCAATAAAGCTCTTTCTGATTCTGATAACAAAAATGTTTCTGTAGACAATCACCTATTGCACCTTTAAGTTGGGGGAAAGTTGTTTGCAGAGGTTGTTTGAAAGTTGTAGTTCCGCTCGGCGCCACTAGTAGCGCAGAAACTGCCTACCTTAGCTTTAATTTACACTATTTAAGTTGTACATTTCCAAACAACTTTCATTTGTAGATAAACGTAGAGAATAAATATCAAAGCTTCAGAATTAAGAACAAACTTTACAGCAAAAATTGTTGCATTGCATACATACCTGATCTCCCCTACTTCAAATCAAAAAAACACACAGTGAAATTTTGTTCATCAGAATACATGATAATTTTAGGGGCTCTTTATAAGGTATTGAAAAGTATACGGTTATCTTAAACCTCAAAAGAGTTTTTTTTTTTTTTTTTTTTTACATTTGCAGAGAGAATTAGATTTAATTCAGTATTCTGACCCAGTGCTGGGCATCCGACTTATCATTTAGTCCAGGGGGGTATTCCAGAAAGCAGGTTATGTGACACATACCCAGGAATGTTTGGGAGTAAGTAAGTGGATAACCCAAGCTTTCGGTTCCAAAAACAGAGATAAATTAAATGGAAAATAAATTATTTTTCCTGGTTTAAAGGGGACACCGGATGCAAAATTGACTTCTACATGGTGTTTCCATATAAAGGTGTCTTAGCTGTGTGTGGACACAAAAATCCCCAAAAAACCTAAACAGTCTCAATAATCAAGCCGTTTTGATTTTCTGAGCAGTATGACGTCACAATGCTCAGGCCCTGCCCACGGCCGCTGACGGACTGTCCCGTATTAGCATATTTCCACCCTCAGCCAGTTTTATGCTGTCCGCCATTTTCTCCACAGTTGAGCAGCTGTAGCGACAACAGTGTCTTGTAAGCAATGCAGGTGTTTTGTAGTTGGATGTAAAAGTGAGCATAAGAGTCCTCCTTTTCTCCTGACATGAGAGCCACTGAGAACGCAGTGGATTAGTTTTGTTTTTGATGGTAATGTGCCACCCAATGCAAAAAACAGAAGAGAGTGGTGGAGTGAGCAGTAGCTCATTATCATTTAAAGAGACATGCACCGAAACGGGTCGCTGTGAACAGAGCTATTTTTGACAAGGTAAAACGGATGTTGTTTTACACCGCCATTGAGGAATTTTAACTAAAGTATGTTGCAGACATTTCATGAAGACCCTAAAGAATCATACCAACTTCTGGAAAATGGGCATCCGATGTCCCCTTTAATAAGGTAAACTTATAAGACAGATACTTGCAAGAAAGATGATTCAGTATCCTCTTAAATTGATACAATCTATTCCTGTTTATGTGAAATAAGCCTGCTCGAGTAGGTTTGAGCTAACAGACCTGTTGCTATGACAGCAACTCCAGGATGAACTAGGAAGAATTTAACAATCCTGGATCATGTCAAATTGCCAACAGTAAAATCCATCTGAGTAATCCACGTACGAAGAACAGGCCAAGGTACAGACATAGCATACAATATCTCAAAAGTGGAAGGGGGTTGGAAAGTGATTGTGTGCCAGTTTACACCAAATATGCCTGAACATGAACTTTATTTCTTTTGATTGGGCAGACTTTCCCTCCACAACAATCTGGAGCTTCACTGCATTGCCTATTTCAATGTGGAACAAATTTAATGCTCTATTTGTGTCATCTTCCCAGGGGCCACTGAATAGACAGCAGGCTGCATATCACCCTCCATTATAGTCGCAACCAACGATCATAAAACAATTTGTAAAGTTTTTTTTTAAACTCTAACATTGGAAAAACTTGCATTTTTCTGTTTAATAAATCTAGAGTGTGAGTGTTTTTAAGAAGGAGGTTAAGGAAAGCCCAGAGGAACAAACTATAGCCACTTGGTTTTGAAATCATTAGAATGACGTAGGGCACAAAACACATTTTTTTGTTTTTGTATTGTTTTTCCTTTTTCTTTATATAAACCCCCTGTAATGTCCAATGTAAGTACAAGAATGGAGAATATATTTACAGTGACTAACTGAACGGAGCACTTCAGTCATAATGACTGGAGCTTAATCCCTCCACAACTGTCCTAACATCGTCATGGATTTGCTCTGGGTCACTTAATCCATGGAGGAGAATGCTAAAGCTCATTGTAATTCTGGGCTGGCTGGAGCATAGAATTTAAAGTGTAGTAGAGTACATTGGGGCGACAACATAACATTAACGGACAGTCCAATGCCATAATTCACACCCGTGTGCTATAGAATGTAAAGATGTAAATACTCTATCAGTTTCAATGATGGAAGTGATCCTTGTTGCCATGAAGTTGGTACCTATTGTACTCTATATCTTTGGTTTGAAACACTGCTTTGTTTGGTGATGTGGGGCAGGGTGAGATTAGGAGATTTACTTAAGTTATTCATTGTTGGAGTAAATATCTGTCATCATAACTGAGACACCCTCAGGGTAAAGAACAGATGAGCACCATCCAATTGTTTTTGCTGAATTGCCAGGGTGTTTCATTGGACAGATTCGGATATCTCGCAGGAGGGGAAACCCCTGTGTCCCTGCACCCATGGTCTCCTGACCTGCTTTCAGCATTTCACATCACTGTCCGAAGATCAAAACTGAACCCCAAAATCCCTTCAGTCCAAATGCATTTTTGCCATCGTTTCGCGAGAAAGTCACGAGTTGTGACACTGTGTTCACATGACTCCATCTTCTAGCCAATTGGATGCCACCTTTCAATCTGAGTTAACCAAGAGGATAGGGCAACAATAATTTTCCGTTTGCCAGTCGTTCCGTTTTTATTAATCTTTTTGCAAACATCGAAAGTGGTGGCCATCTGTTTCCAGTAGCACCAAAGGTAAAGCCTCTTTTTAAGCTTCAATTTTTATTGTTTTCTGAGGATGTTTCAGAAGGTTGTTTTGTTCTGAATATTCATTATTATATGCATTTAAAATTTGAACGTAAATGAAAATGGATTATATGCAACCTACATATTATGGCACATATATTTTTCTTAATGTATATTTACTTTTGATTGAAAACATACATTTTGACGTTGTACATCATTTTGGATGATCATACTATAAATAGCATTATGAAATGTTAGTCTACAATACCTTTGACATATCTGCTTTGAAACTAGTTTTGTTTTCTAGGCCAACCATAGGTCAAACATATCATTAATTCATGAATCGCTAGAACTATAATTTAAACCTTGCTGGACATTGTTCGGAAATGGTTGTATTTGATTCTCGAGGACATGCCTAAATGAGTCACTACACCTAATTAAACAAATACAAAGGAACAATACATGTTTGAGGAAAGTGTGGCTATCTCTTGGGAAAATTGGTCAATTAGATCTCCTTTATTTCTTCCTCACTGCGGTCTGCACAACGATATGTACATTTAACGAAGCTTATGTAAGATAATTTAATTATTGGATAATTACCACGTCCACGAGACTTGTTTATGGGTATCTGCACTGTCTTTGCATATGACAGATAGCTGAGGTGGCACTGCGCTGAAATTGACTTTGATCAGAACTGAAAATATCTGAACAGTCATTATCCTGATTATCATCATCATAAAATAGCGATATCAATTCATGCTCCTAGGTTTACTAAGGTGCTTCAGGATATGTGGTTCTTCAGGGGATTTAAATTTTAAAGCCACTTTGGCCATCAATGAATATGCAACATTTACATAAAAAAATCACTTATATGTTCAAGCTAAAAGAAGTCAATGACATCTAGTTAATTTGCAACACATGGTATACAGGGTATCAATTTGCCATGTCTTTGCATGAAAATGACACGTGTAACTTTTCTTTGATCCAATAATGGTTCAAGTCTTATACCAGAACCTCCTCTGCAATATTTGTTTGACAATGGCTAGACAAAAGCAGGTAGACCACTGCAAAATTCCATTATTTTACACTGTTAGAAACTATCAAACCGAGAGAATGCTTAGAGACAGTGACATGGTGGAATTAGATCCGCTGTCATTCATGATTCAATGTTAACTGTGTTGTATTTCTTGGCTGAATCACAAGTTTGAGAAAATCATTTTGTTTTCTTGTGACTCTTCTTGAAATTCAAGTTTGCATTCAATCAATAAGCTCTTGTTTATTTCTATGAAGTTCAGTATACTAAAAATAATATCGGTTACCACAATAGACAGGACAAAATTACAATATTATAGGACAGTAATAAAAATAATAATATTATGAGACAATAAATCCCCCCCAAAAATCATTCATCTTCAAATGTGTTGCAAGTCAGCAAGTTACTAAAAACAAATAAAAATGGACATGTATATAATAAGAATAAAGTGGTCTCTCTTTAATGTTTTCATTGTTAATATATCCTTTCTGTATTTAATGCAGTTCATGCCTCAGTAGTTTTAAATAAGAGATGTCACTCTTTATTGGAACTAAAACCTCAGTCGCAGTGCATAGAGTGAAGGCCCTCTTCTAACAATACATTTTTCTACATTGAGTGCCGTGCAGAGATGCGCAATGGAAACGGAGGGAGCTTTTTCTGAGCATTGCTCAGCCATGCACAAAGCGTGCTTAATTTGATAGTCGCTCCAGAGGAAGAGGCCAGAAGCTCTTTAGTAGAAAGCCTGACCCACTTTCCCAATCAGATGTCATGAGCAGTGCTGCTCTTACAATGCTGTGCACTGGCCAAAATCTCTGACGGTGCTTCTGAAATTAGATGGGGTGCTCTAATAGTTAAACTGTGGACATAATGTGTAGGCCACAGTACCTCAGGTAATGTGTATTGTACCACCGGTATACTGTAAGTACAAAAGTATCTAGAATAGACTACATGGTTGATATTTACTCTGCATTCAGTGATATAATGGCATTACTTAAACAACTGTGCAATAGTATTTAAAAATATATATCATACAAGGCATGATCTTGCTGTGTTAGCATAACAAAGGATGTAGATCCATGCAAAAATTACAAAAGAATGGGTAAATCAAGCCAGATCTTTCCATATGACTTTTAGTTTGGGTGCCAGGAAAAACAAAGTAGATGGCCAAGAATATATAGAAAAAAATGTATACTTTGTAGAGTATGTCAGTTCTAATAATGGTTTCCTGACTTAATGTAAATGTAAAAATAAAAAAAATAAAAATAAAAAAACCAAGATGTTAATTCATTTGTAATATCAAAATGTACTAAATGCATTTTACACTGCCTTTCTTAAAAAAATAAATAAATCATTTTAATGATCATTTAAATCTAAAATATATAATATTCATTTTTATAAATTAATCCATTTTCTCTGCACATATGGCAAGTGATGCATTATAGCAGCTTTCTGCAATCACTGATGTAGAGTCAGCTTTTGCATTTCACTAATCTTTAAGGTTTGGATTTGGCTTTATGAAATTTATCCTAGACCAGCAGTTACAGACAACTTTATACTGGAGTAGCAATTGGAAGCAATAGGCAATGAAAATTTTCCGCCATGAATTCTCTATGTGCAAGCTGAGGTCATAAATCAAATGGTATAGGCATGAAAGCAGAATATTCCTGATTCAAAACAGCAAATTGGAGCAAATTGTGTTGGTGCAGGGTTTTTTTTGTGTGTGCATTGGCTGTGATTCAGCAGTGAAATCTGCTAATAAATAACTTGCTAATAAAATAAATAAAAGAAAACAAAAAACCTGGATTCAGCATTGTTTGCACATTTATTAATCCATGAACTTTTGTATCTGTGTGTCTGTGTGTGTGTGTGTGTGTGTGTGTGTGTGTGTGTGTGTGTGTAGAAGCGATGAAAAGATGAGTTTGAAAAAGAGAATGAGTTTGCTAATTTTAAGCAAACATGCCTCAAACAGTGCCATATGTGGCCATTTTGTTTTCTACACAACCGCATCACATCAGACAGAAGTGAAACTCTAATTAGATATAACGATGCAAAAACAAAGCTCCTGTCCACACTATCTTAGTAGGGCCTTTCCTCTGAGGCATTATGGGAGCAAAAGTATTTCAGAATCAGACCTGATTCATCTATGATCCCCTTGGCACAAAATAATGCCATCTGTTTCAGCCTGATTGGCCGTTATGAAAGTGTGTTGTGTATAATCCACCCTCATGATTAATGGCTCATCCCACTGTTAACATTTTTATCTTCTTCAAAAATGTATCTCCTGTTCCACAAGCTATTTAGCTTTTAAGAATTGAATACATCAAGATGTGAGATGTTTCTACTATGACATATCTTTCAACCTCTTCTTTTATATAACCGAGGAGGTTTATTTATTTGCCTCCAGCTTCTAGTCTTCTAGGCCTGGCACTGATCGTAGATTTCTGTAGATTATTTTTGCTGTTAAAACTAGACACCAACCCCTGGATGTTGTTAATCTGGATTAAAGTCTTTATGTAATCTGGCGTCCTGTGGGAGATTGGAGGACATCTGGCTGTAGACCTCATCCATCTCTATCTGTTCCCTGCTACCTCTGCCTGCTGGTCTGAGATGGGCAGAGCAACATTCTAAACATTTTGATTGTTTGATTGATTTTATTGTACAATTTATTCAGAGAAATTAATGCTTTCTGAAATTCTATTCTTTCTTATTTGTAATAAGACAGCATTTTATTTTATACACAGATTACTTGTTTATTTCACCCAGTCATCTGAGCTGTGAAATTACCAATCTCCACCCCCTAGATGTGGATCCAACCACGCCCCCTGGATCTTGTGTTCTGCAGTGAGGGGCTATGTGAAATGATGCAGCCATGGGAAAATTATCTCTTGACATGCTGATAAACTCTGACTGGCTGATGACATGACTATAATGCACACAATCCATTAATTAACGACTGATCTGTGTCAAAGGCTGCAGACAGGGATAATAATAATAATAATAATACATAATTATTTTATGCTTTTTTTCGCCTTGCAAGATACATGGTCACTGGCAAAGCATCTGCTATAATCTAATTAAATAAATTTATTTCGAACTGATTTAGTAAACTATTTAGCTTTTTCAAGGTATTATAATCTTTGATGTTAAACAACCAAAACTTGACCTTAGCAATATGTATTAGAGTTGATATGACTCAGATGTCACTCTAGTTTTTCCATAAAACTTTTGTTTCTCTGATTATGACAGTGTGAAAGTCACATTTACTAAATGGAACAAGGGCATTTCACTCAAAAATGACTGAAAATTAATTTCACTGAATAGAAAAGGTTATGTGAACTCAGTAACTGATTATATAAATGAGAAAATAAACCGAATTAGTTACAGCAGATTCCTAGTTCCCAGCTTTGCTTTAGACTCAATAAGAATAGTAAATGTAAAAATTAAGTGTTAGCTTATGTGTTTTTGCAAAATATGAATATATGTGATGTCTGTTAGTGTTTAATGTTCTGTTATGTTTAGACGTTTTGGAGGTTACCATTGTGCTGAAGAGCAGAGGCTGTTGTTAGGTTGATGATGAGCCAATGAATAGTGAGCTAATATTTATGCTGATTTATTTAAAGACCACTAACTACACTTGCTCATAGTGCAGTCTCTTTGTTAGTTATGTTAGCACATCATATGCGCTATTGCTAGTTAGCAGTTAACTGCAAGACGTTTGAGTTAATTTAATATTAATGGTTTTACTCGCTACAATGAAATCTCAGATACACAAAGTATTTGAATAAAGTGTTTAGTTTAATTGTATATTAAGAAAAAATATTTTTCAGTGAGCTCAAATGAAATAAGTTCACTGTATTCATTACTATTGGTTTTTAACACTTAAACGGATTAAGGTAATCAGTTTCTTGAAACTGAAATGAGTTATCCTAAATTGTTGGGTTTTCCAGTGTAATAATACATTTGAATCTGCTTTTGTAAAATGAAAATATTAAAATAAGCATGTATGGTTTTTTGTTGCTTCTTTCAGTTTTTTAGGTGACTGTGTGGTGACCACTGGCCCCTATTCCTTAACTGCTCCTGTGAGTTCCTAACTAATTCACCCAGTCCTAAATCCTCACCATGGAGTCCAACAAAGTGCAATCTGAAGGAGGACTCAATGTCACTCTGACTATCAGACTCCTCATGCATGGCAAGGTAAAAGAACAGCATGCATCTAATCTAAAATTTCCACATACACAATTTACTGCACCATGGTAATAATTCCACCAGTGATAAAGAACAGATTGTGGACATAGTATGTAAGAGGACAAAAATGTCTCTCCTTAAAAGGAAATAGATAGAAGTTTGTTATTAAAATAAACACATTATCTTTTTTTTATCTTGCAGGAGGTTGGCAGCATTATAGGCAAGGTAAAAAGACACATTCAGCCATCAAGACAATACTTGCAAATACTTGAGTTTGTAACAGTCTTTTTTTTTTTTTGGTACTGTATGGATTTTAACATGTATTTATAAGAAATGTACATTGCACAATCATTAATATCTGTGTTTTATCAAAAATGCAATTATTCTTTTCAGAAAGGGGAAACTGTGAAGAAGATGCGTGAGGATGTAAGTAACGTTACAATTCATTTTAGTAGCTGTAATAAGTGTAACATGGTTATTAACAAACAACACAAACTGTTTCTACAGAGTAATGCACGCATAAATATTTCAGAGGGGAATTGCCCAGAGAGGATAGTTACCATCACAGGACCCACAGATGCCATATTCAAGGCCTTCGCCATGATCGCATACAAGTTTGAAGAAGTATTAGACCTTTTTCTAATGAAAATGTTATTAAAACCCCAAAAGAAATCAATAAAAACTGTAATAGAAATTTATGTTTTGGTTCTACGCAGGATATTGTTAACTCTATGAGCAATAGCCAGGCTACTAGTAAGCCTCCAGTGACTTTGCGTTTGGTGGTGCCGGCCAGTCAATGTGGCTCTCTAATTGGGAAAGGAGGCTCCAAGATCAAGGAGATGAGGGAGGTACGTTCAAACTTATTATTTCTTTATGATCTACATATTTCATAAAGTGCAGCAATATTTATTTTAATACACAGAATGCCATTGTTACTCCAACACAACAGCTAAACTAAACATTTTTACTTGGATTATACAGGAAGCATGGTAGTGCTGTGTTCCAAGGGGTCCTATCCTGTCTGATTGTACTGTGCATGTTCTCCAGTCTACAGGGGCTCAAGTGCAAGTGGCTGGAGACATGTTGCCCAATTCTACTGAGCGAGCGGTCACTATCTCAGGTGCTCCAGAGGCTATTATCCAATGTGTGAAGCAGATCTGTGTGGTCATGTTGGAGGTAAGGAATAGACAAATTACAGTGGTTTTGAGGTTAAAGAAATAGTTCACTTAACTCTCACTCTCGTGTTGTTCCAAAGTTTAATGGTTTTCTGACTTCTGTGGAACACAAAAGAAGATATTTTGAAGAATGTTCTAGCTGTTTTTGTCCATATTATGAAAATCAAAACTCTCAAGCTACAAAAAGGCAGTGTGATGAGCAGATAGAAATCTAATACTTTATCCACTTTCAGATCAAATCCAAACATTGATCAGCACATGCATACACAGATGATGTAATCAAATATTGCGAAACAAACCTCAACTAATGTCAACCCTCATTGGTTCTTGCACGTCACATGACCAAATGTTGTGAAGTGCAAAAACCACGGGTATGGATTAATTTTGAACATTCTTAAAAAGATCTCATTTTGTGGAAATAACAAAAACAAAGCAACGTTGTGTGTCAGATTTAAAATAGATGTTTAGATTTGAATATCAGCATATATTCTTATGTCAAATAGGGAGTTGACTTTTTATCATGGTCTCATTTTGGTAACCATCTAAGCATCTATTACATTCTGTTCTATTATAGTTTGCCCTTACTTTTCTTTTTTCCTAATTTCCATCTTTTCCATCTTTATTTGACCTCCACTGACTTTTGCCAGTCCCCACCCAAAGGTGCCACAATTCCATATAGGCCGAAGCCTGCCACTGCACAAGTCATTTTTTCTGGGGGCCAGCTAAGAGCAGATACTCTGACAGCACCAGCCACAGCCAACCTCAGCTTGTTACTGCAGCATCAGCCTCTGCCTGTAAGTATGGTTAAGCTATACACTATTACTACTACAGGCATACAGTACATACAAACATAGTATTAGTATATTAAAAATAAACTAGTGGGATGTGAGCCATTTGCCAAGATAAATTCTCATATTTTTGCTTAGAAAAAACTTTATGAAGTTATGATACTTATGATATGTAATTCTAAGTCATACACAAGTATACATATTCCTATGGGGTGATAAATGTAAAATGTAATGACAGTCTTTTTGGATAATTTAATTACTTGAAGAAATTCTAACAAAATACAGTTATATTTTAATAGAATTCATACAAAAAGACAAAAGCCAGTTGGATTTCATCCACAGAAAATGTAAAGCCAGCACATGATTTCATGTACAGAAAGACAAAAGCCAGTTGGATTTCATTAACAGAAATGTAACAGCACTTCATTTCATTCACAAAATCAAATGTTAATTTACTTAATTGATTAATTTCATGGATAAAAGTAAATACATTTGGTCCACAAAAGGAAATGCATATTGTGACATGATGAATCATGAAATGGAATGTGCAAATAACATTTTGTGGACAAATAATGCAGACAATCCTCGAAATACAGTATCTCATTCAAAGACTGAGCATTTTGTGGACTCCAAATTATGCATTCGATAATCTCCATGAAAGTTGTTTTCTCTTACCCACAAAATTAAAAGTACATTCACCCTTCTGTGCACAAAATGGAAGGAACTTAGGTTTAGAATTTTGTGCAAAAAAAGACTATATTTTGATTAATGAAACACAAAGACTTGTGTGTACAAAAATTTATTTAATTGTAACTTAAATGTAACATTTTGTGTCACATAGTTAATTCAGGCCATGAAATTAATTAGTTTTCACTCGACGACCATGTGTTCCACATGTAAAATTTGATTATATTAAATACGTCTATGTGTACAGTACATTGATGTTGAATTCTGTACATGTACATTGAAGATTTTTTTCCTTTCTTAGACCTACACCATTCAGGGACAATATGCCATCCCACACCCAGACGTGAGTACAACTTCTAATTCTTCGTACCTCTTTAGTGTAGTGTTCTTGTTAACCTTTGTTAACCTTTTTTTCATGACCTGCTTTACTAAAATTCATACAACTGATATGTTTGTGTTTTTTATAGAAGGCAGAGTCATAAATGAGATTTCTCACAGCTTCCCCTTGTTAGTGTCTAGATGAGTTTGTGAAGGTCCAAGCAGGACTCCTTTATTTAATCATAACTTCTTAGGTGTACTGACCCTCCTCCCTCCCCCAGCAGTTGACAAAGCTCCATCAGCTGGCTATGCAGCAAACCCCCTTTACCTCCCTCGGACAGACCACCCCCGCTTTCCCTGGTACGTACCCACCTCCCCGCTACACACCCTTCACTATATACCTGTAGGTCTTTCATTCACTTCTGTCTTTCACTCTTCTCCCCCAGGATGGGTTGCATATTAGTACCTTAAAGGTACATATTAGTACCTAAAGTATACATATTAGTGCCTAAGTGGTACCTTTTGAAAGGATACCACCCAACAGCAATGTATATAGTGGCAATTAACCTCTCCCTAATGCAAACATTTATTAGATGGATGGAAATATGCTACAAATGTAGCATAAGATCAAAACAAAACAAAACAGCTGGTTGCACAACTGTGGTTGCCAGAATCAGCATATTAAGTTTTACATTTTAAACTTAAATTTACAGTAAAAAAAAAAAGTCACATAAACCGTACTGTACCTAACTGATAAGAAAAAAACTAAGAATAATTTTTATTTAAATGGAAAAACCCTCAAATGTGAAGTGTCACACAGAGAATTCTGGGAATGTCAATTTATGTATTTGTCACTGTAAATTACAAGAGGACTTGTTCTTTTTCACTTCCAAAAACTGTAAATTTAACAGTGTTTTACTTACTAACAGTATTTAAAATTACATGATATGTCCCTTTACATTTATTACAGTTTTTCACCATATATAGTAAGGGAACTTACCATGAACTAATTAACAGGTTTTTACTGTAGCATTTTTAGTGTTTTATCATTAAAATTACAACAATTTTTACAGTGTACAGTTTTAACATGGTTAATATTGTGAAAAAAAATGCTCTCTATATTTCAGATTTTTTTCTCAGTTCTCCCACTCTCTTTCTGTTTCTAGGTGTGGATGCCAGTTCACAGGCCAGTACTCATGAACTCACCATTCCAAATGATGTGAGCATAATTCTTTGTCTTCAGTAACCCCCTCATTGGGCAATTGTATTAAAGAAGAATTTAAGGAAGAGTTGTTGATTTTCCAAACTGACTTTAATCTGTCTGCTTTATGTTTCTAGCTAATAGGCTGCATAATCGGACGTCAGGGCACAAAAAATAATGAAATCCGTCAAATGTCTGGGGCTCAGATCAAAATTGCTAATGCCATGGAGGGGTCATCAGACCGTCAGATCACCATTACTGGAACACCTGCCAACATCAGCCTGGCACAGTACCTCATAAATGCCAGGTGAGATGACATGTAACTGGTAAAAACAGATGTTTTTTTAATACTAAACTAATAATTTTAATTGCAATACTTTTTAGGGGTAAAATAAATTATTAAATATACACCAAAAAGCTTATTTTTTAACAGAAGAGTCTTATGTTCACCAATGCTGAATTTATGTAATGGGAAAAAAAAGTCAAAACAGTAATATTGTAAAATATCATCACAATTTAAAATGACTGATTTACATTTTAATACAGTATAATTAAAATTCACATTTTTTTTCTCTGAAATAGCAACGCTCTATTTGCAGTGACTATTACTCCAGTCTTCAGTGTTCCCTAAGAAATCATCTAATATGTGATTTAGTATTCAAGAAAAAAACTTTCTTCTTATTATTATAATTAGTCGAAAATGGTGCATTAATGAAGTTTGGAAGTTTTTTTTTTCCAGGATTGAACGAAGTTGCAGTAGAGTTAAAGAACAACAGAATTTATTTGAAATATAATGCACTCTTTATAATGCATTCTTGCTGAAAAAAAGTATCCATTTCTTTAAAAGTAAAAAAAAATCTTTGAATGGTAGCGTATATTATTAACTTTTGCTTACACCACATTACATTTTTATTTTTAAATATGTCTTGAAAATGGTTTACATATACCTAAAACAACTGAAACGGCATAAATATAAAGATTCCATTTCTAACTTGATTCATGCAATGTTCAAAAGTTTTTTGGGGTTTTTTATGTTTCCTTGTCGTGAACAGTTTTATTGGTCATTGATCCTTATGCTGTACATGCTTACATTTTTTGCCGTTATACTCTCTGCAGGTTCAGAGATGTGGCAGCCATGTGGACTGACCCTTCAACCATAACAACCTCCTGAAATCATATTATGCTCTGTTTATCCAAGACGTTCTGGTCTTGAACTGTTTTTGGGCCTCATCAGTGTTCTTAAAACCTGGGAATTGATATAGTCAGACATTTGTGTCTCAGGATTGTTGAACTACAATTAGTGTAATTAAGCCAGTTCAATTGACTCATTCCATAAAATAACAAAAAAAAAAAGTTTCACCCAACAGGAGCCTCTCTGCAAACTGTATTTATTGTCTACATTGAATGGTCTCTCCAGTAAAAAGTATTCTAATAAGCAGCCTATATTTTGGCAATTTTGGAATTTATTAATTAGATATAGTTTTGAGTTTTAGCAAAGAAACTTAGCATGCTGAATGTCTAGTAGTCGTTATTGCTCTTATTTATTTAAATGCTTTCTCAGTAATTTACAGTATTTTAAAAATGTATTCAAGTTATCGTACATGTAATGTGAGCAATAAATTGTATTAAAATATGCTTCTTTTAACTTCTGTAAGTGGCAAAACAGACGGTCATAAATGTTGTGATTTTAGAAAAAGAGAAAACTGATTTCCAGTTCATTTTAAATATGGTCACACCTGTGTAGATTCATTGCTGGTTTATAATTTGTAACAAATATATATTTCATACAGCGCATGATATCCTTTTTCTTTTTATTCTGGTCCCGAAACAATTGTCTGTTCAACATTTGTACAATTACAAACCAGATGATCTAATCATGTGTGATTTAATGATTTTTCAGCCTTTCAAAAAAAGACCTGATTGTTTCACTTTTGACATTTTACTTGGCTAAACATTATTGATGTTGACTGTGCTTCAAGTAATTGTAATAGTTTATGAAGCAATGTACTTTGTTTACATCTTTGTTTAATGCTGTGTTGTGCACTGCAATAATGTGAATAATTGAAAGTGTCAGACATAAGTAGTCTAGACAAAAGTAAGATTAACTATCATCAGTGGACCACAGAAGAATTGACACCTTTTGGCAATGCATCTGTGATTATACAGTAAGGAAGCAAGTAATAGAAGTTGATTTGAATGTAATGATGTGACTTTTTAACAGGTCATTTGCTGTTTAGCTTGTCAAATGTACACCCAGTCCCAGATGGATGAAACAACAGCCTACAGTATTATACATTTGCTCAAGCTCTTTAGGTTTTCTTTTCAAACTTGTCTCAATAGCTTGTGATTACATTGTTAGTTGGATTCACAAGTTGTATATCTACTGTATATGCTCTGTGTTAACAGTTCTCTGTTCAGAATGTTTATTATTTATATCAAAGAAATGGGCTTTGATGAGTTAAAATGTAATGTAGAATTATTTCATGTATGCATTTTGGTGTTGACTTCTATTTAAGATTTTATGTGATGATTTATGCAAGAGTTCTTAATCGAAATCCAGTGAGTTCATATAAGTGAATATGTATATTTTTCTGTAATTTCTAGTGGCTAATAGACCATTAATTGTGCTCCGTTGACAGTGATTTTTGTATATTCATACCCATATAACAGGGTCTGAATTTACAAGCATGGCTATTCTGAATGTCTTAACACTCTTGGCAGTCTTTCTATACAGTATATATCTCATATAATCAGTTATGACACAAAAATGGTTGACACTGGACTTTTATTAAACTAATGTGCTTATTTTATTTTTATTTTTTTTCTTGTTTTAATCCATGCGGACTATAGTATTTCCCACAGAGAAACTTTGGTTTCTGTGATTGCTGCTGAATGACTCATGGTTTGACTTGCAGAATGCTTTCATTTGCATATTCATATACATTTTTTTTCTAATAAAGTCTCTTGATCTCACATGGGTTCTGTTTTTTTTCTCAAGAAAATGTCTCTCACATTATGAAACCATTCTGAAATACAGACATTTGTCATTATCGAGATTACCTAAACGTCATGCTAGTGACTAGTGTACAATAAACCATGTTAATTGTGCTATAAGCTGTATTCTCACATTAAAATATTTAATTCTTATGGCTCTCTATGTGTAATTAGTCACTGTGTATAATTTGTGACAAGGATGCATTGTCCATTTTAGATGAAAACTGTCAACAATAGCTGTTTGTCAGGCTATGTCAGTAACGGTAGCCCATTTTATTGCATTTTAACTTGGAAGATTGCATTTGGAAGATAAATGAAGTGACAGCTAAGCGAGGGGAAGCATTCTGTGCTGAACATTGCCACCCTATGTCGCCTATGATCAAGTCTACCACTGATTAAAAGAAGGATGTTAATGTACAGAACTTGAAATCTTTTATCAACTTCCTTGGCAGTCATTAAAAAGATTTAAAGTTCAATACATAACATTTTAACATAATAGTGAATCGTTTACATAATAGTGAAACTATTCTGCAAATTTCAGTCATGTGTGAGACTATTAGGATTATGACACACTAGCTGAAGTGTTAATGGTCCTTTTATTAAAAACAAAACAAAACAAAAAATATATTTAAAAAAAAATGTTGGTAACCAAACAGTTGTTGGTAGCCATTGACTTCCATAGGTTTTTTTGATTGTTTTTTTGGAAGTCAGTGGCTACCAGCTACTGGTCGGATCTAACGTTCTTCAAAATATCATATTTTCTGTTGAACAGATACTCATACAAGTTTGGAACTATACTTGAGGGTAAGTAAATGTTGACAGAATTTTCATTTTTGAGTGAACTATCCCTTTAAAGGTAAAAATTCAACAATTTTAAAAGCAGGCAATAAAGAAGAATATAGAGGCTTCTTGGAGTGAGAAGAATTTAAAAGTCGATTAGTCATGTGACAACAGACATTAAAGGCCTGTTTTAGAATACTCGATCCAAAATTATTTTGTTCAAGTCTTTGCATGACAGGTTTGCTTTTATACTTCTCATTTCTGTGAGGTTTATTCCCCAGTGGCAGCATGTCTTAAAGATATTTGTATTCAATCTCCAGAAACCTTTAACCCATTTAATCACACCGGTCACAATAGTGAGCGTATAAAAGGTTTTCATTTATAAAGCTCTAAAAACCTTACTGACTGATGTTTTAGTGCATTTCCTGCAAATATGGAAAGAATAAAGGGTCTCAATTAAATATGTGCAGTGTCACATGGTTAGTGCAAACTGTCACATGACCAGAGCAGTTTAATTCCATTTTGCACCATTAGAAGATGATGGCTGCATCAAAACTCCAAAACGAAAGGCTAGTAAAGTATGTTAACATAAAGATATGACAAAGAATTTTGGTCCACATTATCTTTAAGGTGTCTAGTATTAATATATGAATTCACATATATTCAGTTTTGTTGAGCGTGGTCATAGAATGAGTAAATACATTGATGGTCACAATAGTGACCGGCGGGATAACATTAGGTATACAATATAAATCCAATTGCAGTTGTTAGTTAGACAAAATATTGCACTAAATTAAAAGTTCAAATGTTACAAATAAGTTACAATATTGATGTTGTAATACTGGTAGCACTAATATAAAAAAAGTTATGATATATTTTACAATAAAGTAACAATTTTGAAATTGATGGTTGTATTTTTTTGTCTTTTATCTCAGTATTCTTAACAGTTATGTATACGTTTTTTATGCATAATAGTAACCCTAGAATGTGATCAAACAGTTTAAAATAACTGGGCTAAGATATATAACAATTCTACAAAACTGCAGAAATATGTTAATTCAGTATAATCATCCCACACCGGTGTGACTGACCATAAAACACAATTTTTTACACACTTTTTCAAAAAATAATTATTGATTATTTCAAAGGGTTACTAATGACACATCATTTGGATATTTTCATGTCTGGGAAAAAATTAGGATTAAACGGGTGGGGCGATTCTAGGATTTTCATTTTAGGGGGGGCTCAGCCCCCAATGAGGATATATATATATTCAAATGAAAATGGCAACATAGTTTTATAAAGTATATGCATTCATATGTGCTTCATTGTCGCTGGAGGAAACCTGTGGTGTGATGAGGGGTGAACGCAGCGAAACCACTGACTTAGAAGACACAAAAGTCAAGAAGAAGAAGAAGAAGAAGAACCAGGCTACAGTAGATGTGGAACCGATTGCTCCCCCATGATATTTTGTAAACTGTCTTTATGACAAAGAACTGCACAGATGCAGATATTATAACAATCTATCGATAAACACACACCTTGTCCTCTGTTTCTCGCTCTGCGCCGCCACGGTCTGCGGATTGAAAAGAACGCGCTGAAAGATGGGGAGGAGCCAATCGAAGTCTGCCGCCATTTTCATATGAAATTTAAAGGGTTAGTTCACCCAAAAATGAAAAATCTATCATTAATTACTCACCCTCATGTCGTTTCAAACCCGTAAGACCTTCATTCATCTTTGGATTGAGGGGATTGAGTCGATCACGAATTCGTGTACAGTTTATGGAACTAATTGCAAAATTTTAGGGGGGCTGAGTAGTCAATTTAGGGGGGATATAGCCCCCCTAAAAATGGCCTAGCGACGCATACCAGAACGTGTTTTCTTCTTCTTCTTCTTCTTCTTCTTCTTGACTTTTGTGTCTTCTAAGTCAGTGGTTCTCAAACTGGGTTACACATACCCCTGGGGGTAGGCCTTCGTGAGATGAAGGAAGGGGTACGCAAACAAAATTCTGAGTTTTGGCATTAATTTAATTCTACCCCAAATTAAAGTAACATTAAACAAGCAAAATGCCGCTTCTAATGTAAAAACAGGAAAATGGGAGTGCCGCATAAACACATTGCATTACACCAAATACACAAAATAATGTTCTTTTTAGCAGCATCATATGACCCCTTGAACGAATCTGCGGCTTTGGACGATTTGGAGAGTCAGTGATTTTGCTACAGCATTTTGCTTCGTTACTGAATGAATGAATGACGCGACGCCTGGCTCATTAAGACAGCGACTTGCCACCACCTATTTGGAGGTTTTATTTTTAAATTTATAAGTACCACTTCGATTTGCCATAATTTATTGCTTTATATTAATAATACACTTAATGGAATGTTAAGAATATGACATAAAACATGACATATAATTAATAAGGATAGAAAATATTTGCCTCTATAAAGGTAAAAAATGCACCTGTAAATCAATTTAAGGGGGCAAATATTGTCCTTTAATAGAAAAGGTGTGACTGCGGTCTAAGTGGTACGCCGAAGAATGTAAAATGCCCCAGGGGGTACGCTGCTGTAAAAAG